GAAACTTGTGATTTCCTCTGTAGTTCATCAATGGCAATTTCCTCCCCTCATTGTATACGAAATTCCATTGTTCCTCGCGTTGCATTACCCAGGGGTTTGAATTATAGATGTGTGAATTTAAAGAAGACGCGGTTCCAAGTTTTGGCATGCTCTTCTGTGGCAGACAAAGGTCTTTCCTTTGACAAGAGAGTGAGTTCTCATTTCCTGCTTCTTGCTTGTTTTGGTACTGGTTTGCACTTGCTTTGGCTGCTTACATAGCCTTGTGGTATGCTTTTATAAAAATATTGTGTTTTGCTTATAATAAAAAATATTTGTAAAATTTGGGTTTTAAAAAAAGATATGACTATTACACAGAGGGTAAGTTTGAGAAAACTTCTTTGTAGACGATGTTCTTTGTGCTCCTTTTGTATGGACAAAAAAAAATTCAAAGTCGTGGAAGCTACAATACAGACCAAACATGATAACTTGCCACGATGTCCGAGGATTAAAACATTTATGCAGCGTTTATTTTTCCTTTCATTTGTCTCATGACTCTCATCTCTTTCAAACCTTGAGGAAAAAAATTTATTCAACTTCCTTTAATTTAAGGAACACAAACTATTAAAACTTTTTAAAAAATTATTTTAAAAAATTAGGAAAATATAGAATTGCACCATAAAACCCTAGCTACTATATTATAGAATTATTTACCCACTGCATTATAGAATTGCACCATTGAACCCTACTCCCTCCGTCTCATTCATAATAAAGTGTTCGCATATACTACCTCCGTTTCTTTTTAGTTAACACGTATTCCTTTTTAGGAAGTTTTTTTAGTTGACACGTTTTCTTTTAGGGTAACTTTTTTACCTTGCATTTACAAGTTACCCCACTTGCCTTTTCATTTTCACTCACTCTCTTTCCTCTCCTTAATATATGTGCCTAAATCAAACGCATCAACTAAATAGAAATGGAGGAATGAAGTATTATTTTAGAGAATTAAAGAAAGTGAAGTAAGTGTAAAATAATATGCCTTAGAAGTTTCTCCATAGAATACTCCATTTAGTCTCAATTGATGTATTAATTGGCGGTTTTTACACCATATGCCCCTGAGTTTTTTGTCTATCCATCATATAAACCTCTTAAATTTTCTTGTTAAATGTTGACTATTGATTGTTAACTTCGTCAATCATTAGATTTAATTATGACCCGAAATCACCCTAAATACATTTTCCCCACCCCTAAAACCACTCACATTCCTTTTTCCCACTCCCGAAACCACCTCAAATTTCCTTTTCTCATCCTCAAAATCAATCATATGGATATGGTTAATTGGTTATAGAGGTTTAGAGTGGTTTCGGGGGTTAGAGAAAAGAGATGAGTGATTTCGGGGATGGTGGGAGAGATCTAAGGTATGATTTTGATGCATAATTAACCAAATTTCACTCATCTTGTCATTAGAGGTGTATGGTGAATTTTTGTCAAAACACGGGATATAAGATGTGTACATTATCAGATCAAATATGTAACTTTCGACAAGTGCAATTTTCCAATAAGTAATAGGTTTTTTTTTTTTTTTTTTGGTGTGTATGTTTTTTGAAAACTTGATTAATGATTGCAAAAAACCCTAAAAACCCTATGGTTACTCTCAAATGTGAATGAGGTATATAGCGTTAATTATTAACCACTAAATGTAATGCGGTATCTTCTTCTACGTGGTGTAACAAAGACCCTTAATTAAACAAAATTAAAAAAACATAAGATTTTTTTTTTAAAAACCAAATACATACATAAGATTATACACATTATATTAGAAGTATAATTAATTAATTAGTCGATGATGAAAAATTACACTTGATGAAATTGCAGTGTTTCCACTCGATCTAGATTGATGATGGCCTTCCTCTCCCACCCTTCTTCCTCACCATAATTCTGCAATTGCCTGACGAATCTTTAGGAAAATTTTGGCCTGCTACTGCAAAACTTGACCTAAACGTGTTATACAAGTTGTACTGTTGTATTTTTCTTTTTTACACATACTTAGCCCTTTTATTTTCTAAATAAATGCTATTAGCCTACTTCCCTTTTTTATTTTTTATTTTTATTTTTATTTTTATGAGGTGCTCCATTAAATTTGACACACATGCAGTCATGCAGATATATATTTTTTTTATTTATAATAATAGTTTAAATTATCAATGACTATAAATTACAACCATTAAATTTTAATAATCTACTAAATTATAATTGAGACAATTTCAACAAATACCGCAATTTTTTTTTTTTTTTTTTTTTTTTATGAATAATTCACAAACATTGGTTAAAGTAAGTTAAATAAATACTGCAAATTGTCCCAATAAAGCACTTGAAAAAAATGGAAGGATTACTTGACCAATGTTATAGGGTTACTCGCTCAATTTTATAACTTAAAAGATTATTTGGCCAATGTTATATGTGTTACTTCGTCGGTATTATGAGCGGTCACACAACATGGTCAACCGCACAAAAAAATTATGCTACTAATCTAATATATATAAATAAAGTAGGCATTTTTGGAGAGCATTGGGAGCGCCACATAAGATAAGGTATATTTTTGACCAATTAAACATTAAATTTCTATTTTATTTAAGAATTAAAAAAATCACTCGCCAGCTAAACAAAAGTGACGAATGAAATTTTAAATTTTTGCCACGTAGGTAAAAACGACGAATAGTAATTTATTAAGATTTTAATTATTTAAGAACACTAAATTTTTTCATTTTTATTTGTTACAAAACTAACAATTATCTTTATATATAAGGATTTATATTATTTAAAAAAATAAAAATTATATTTTGATATTTAAAAAATATAAATTATCATTTGATGTTAATTGGTTAAAAGACATAATATTTTCATACAAAATTTTAAAATTATAATACAAGAAAAAAAATTAAGAGATCACCAAAAACATATTTATATAAAAAAAGAATATAAAAATTCGTGCATCGCACGCCACATAAGCAAAAAAAAATTTCAACCAATGAAAAATTAGAATTATATATTAATTTAGAATTTAAATTTTCATCGCTATTTAAGAAAAAATTAACAAATGAAATTTGAGAATTGAAAACAAAAAAAATTAGTAATTTAAGCTTTAAATTATGAAAAATAAATTATGAAAAAAAGAACAAAAATTATCTTTTTTATTATCTTTTACATTAGGATTTATATTATTTTAACAAATAATTAGAAATTAAAAAATATATTTTGATTTAATGATTTTATCTAACTATCCGATGATTGAGATAATATTTATTTCAATTTATAAATTCAAGTTCTATATACGTAAAATTTGAATAAGAATAATTTAAAACTTAACAAAATTTTTTACCATAAAAACAAAAAATATTAAGAATTACAAAAAAATATTTTATACAAAATGAAATATTTAAAAATCGTGCATCGCATGGGCATTTTTGGAGAGCATTGGGAGCGCCACATATGAAAGGTATATTTTCGACCAATTAAAAATTAGATTTCTATTTTATTTTAGAATTAAAAAATCACTCACCACTTAAACAAAAGTGACGAATGAAATTTTAAATTTTTGCCACGTAGGTAAAAACGACGAATAGTAATTTATTAGGATTTTAATTATTTAAGAACACTAAATTTTATCATTTTTATTTGTTACAAAACTAAAAATTATCTTTAGATATTAGGATTTATATTGTTTAAAAAACTAAAAATTATATTTTGATATTTAAAAAATATAAATTATCATTTGATGTTAATGGTTTTATGTAAATATCTAATGATATGATATTTTCATACAAAATTTTAAAACTTATAATGCAAGAAAAAAAATTAAGAGATCACCAAAAAAATTATTTATATACAAAGGTATATTTTCGACCAATTAAAAATTAGATTTCTACTTTATTTTAGAATTAAAAAAATCACTCGCCACTTAAACAAAATGACGAATGAAATTTTAAATTTTTTCCACGTAGGTAAAAATGACGAATAGTAATTTATTAGGATTTTAATTATTTAAGAACACTAAATTTTATCATTTTTATTTGTTACAAAACTAAAAATTATCTTTAGATATTAGGGTTTATATTATTTAAAAAACTAAAATTTATATTTTGATATTTAAAAAATATAAATTATCATTTGATGTTAATGGTTCTATATAAATATCTAATGATATGATATTTTCATACAAAATTTTAAAACTTATAATGCAAGAAAAAAATTAAGAGATCACCAAAAAAATTATTTATATACAAAATGTATATAAAAATTCGTGCATCGCACGCCACATAAGCAAAAGTAATATTTCGACCAATGAAAAATTAGATTTATATATTAATTTAGAATTTAAATTTTCAGTCGCCATTTAAGAAAAAATTAACAAATGAAATTTGAAAATTGAAAAAAAACAAAAGTTATCTTTTATATTATCTTTTACATTAGGATTTATATTATTTTAATAAATAATTAGAAATTAAAAAATATATTTTGATTTAATGATTTTATCTAAATAGCCGATGAATGAGATAATATTTATTTCAATTTATAAATTCAAGTTCTATATAAGTAAAATTTGAATAAGAATAATTTAAAACTTAACAAAATATTTTACCTTAAATTAATGTTAAAATAATAGAATAAAATATAAAAACAAAAAATATTAAGAAATTACAAAAAAAATATACAAAATAAAATATTTAAAAACCGTGCATCGCAAGGGCTTATATTTAGTATAAATTATAACTAGGTGATCATTAGTTAATTTAAAACTTTCAATATATGAAAGTGATGCAACTAAAAAGAAATAAAACCCTTAATATACAGAGATATTATTTTATTTAGGAAAAATTAGAAAAAATAATCTCAAATTAGAAAATGAAGACCCCCTAAAGTTCGGATTATTCCAAAATAATCCAAAATTGGGATTATTATAACAAAATTGATGAAAGTTGAGATTATTTTTTCTAATTTTTCCTTTTATTTATTAATTAATTAAAAAATTGGTTAAAAGTTGATAATATTTTTATTTTTTTTTGAAACAAAACTTGATGATAATATGATATCATTGCAACCCTCTATATGCTTCTAAAAATGTTGCCTTTTGTTGATTTAAAGCAGTATGGATTCAGAGTGATTTGGGAGGGAGTAATAAATTTTTTATTTATAGACTTGCTGATTAAAATTAATTCCTTGTAAAAGTAGGTGATGGAATTAACTTCCCCTTCCAAATTCTTATTGTACTGAAGCACATGGCAATGAATAAAAGGACCAAACAAATGAACAGTGCCAGAAATTGATTACACATACAGGACACAGACCTTAAGTCCTTAATTGACAATGTGATAATTTCTTAAATTCAAGAAAAGATTAACTTGATATGCAATCAAAGAAAAATATACCCTTATCTTGATATGATGTTGCTAAAATGCAAATGAATCTGGTTCACAAACTTATAGTCCAAAAACTTTAAAGTCAACAACTGCGTACTACTACTAATTCTACAACTCCTTATTTCATTGTTGCCAAAAGAACATTCTTACTTAGAAAAAGTGGCTAATCTAAGTGAATCTGACACTGCAAACCCACCAAGTTACTGGAAAATGAGTAAGACTGATTTTTTCCCAGGAGAGTCCTTTAAAAACTGGAGTGCCTACAGATCTGCAGTCTCGCAGACGTGCCACCGGTTCACAGACCGTCTTATGAGTCGTTCAAATGATGCGAATGAGCTTGGTGATATTCGACAGCAGAGTAAGAACGATATGAAGCGTTGCCTGAATTGGTGGGATTTAATCTGGTTCGGGTTTGGATCAGTGATCGGTGCAGGAATATTTGTTCTTACAGGCAAAGAAGCCCATGATGATGCTGGACCTGCTATTGTCATGTCTTATTTGGTTTCAGGTTTCTCAGCAATGCTTTCTGTGTTCTGCTATACAGAATTCGCGGTAGAGATTCCCGTCGCAGGTGGTTCATTTGCTTATCTGAGAATAGAATTGGGAGATTTTGCTGCATTCGTAGCAGCAGGTAACATTCTGTTAGAAGGAATTGTTGGGAGTGCAGCAGTTGCAAGAGGTTGGACCTCTTATTTCACAACTTTGTTGAATCTTCAGCCGAATTCTTTAAGGATTCATACTGATCTTTCTCAAGGGTTCAACATGTTGGATCCTATTGCAGTTGGAGTTCTTATAATTTCGTCTACAATCGCTATCATCAGTACTCGGAAAACTTCCATCTTTAACTGGATTGCATCAGCAATAAACACTGCTGTGATATTCTTTGTGATCATTGCAGGACTTTTACACGGAAAAACATCAAATATGACCCCATTTCTTCCCTATGGAGTAAAAGGGATCTTTCAGGCAGCTGCAATCATCTACTTTGCTTATGGTGGATTCGATACAATAGCCAACCTGGCCGAGGAAACAAGAAACCCAGCAGTAGATATACCAATAGGATTACTCGGGTCTATGTCCTGTATCATAGTGATATACTGCTTGATGGCTCTTTCACTGAGCATGATGCAGCCTTACTCAAGTATAGACCCTGATGCAGCATACTCACTGGCGTTCCAGAGTGTGGGATTGAAGTGGGCAAAGCCGCTGGTAGCTCTTGGTGCACTAAAGGGAATGACAACAGTACTACTGGTGGGATCACTAGGCCAAGCCCGATACATGACTCATATAGCACGAGCACACATGATCCCACCAGTATTTGCTTTTGTACACCCGAAAACAGGCACTCCTATAAATGCCACACTCTTAACAACCATATTAAGTGCCAGCTTTGCATTCTTCTCAAGCTTAGACACATTGTCAAGCTTGTTATCTATCAGCACTTTGTTTATCTTCATGATGATGGCGGTAGCACTCCTCGTGAGAAGGTACTACGTGAAAGGTGTCACCAGTCACAAAAATCTGAGAACACTAATTGGTTTATTGCTGATCATCATTGCTGCTTCGATAGGTAGTGCAGCTTATGGGAGTTCAAATCCTAAAGGTTGGTTAGCGTATACTATAACAGTCCCGTGTTGGTTATTGGCAACCATGGGTATAGCACTCAAGCTGCCTCAACAGCGTACATCAAAGGTCTGGGGTGTTCCTTTGGTCCCGTGGCTTCCATCCTTATCTATCGCCATCAATGTGTTTCTGATGGGTTCATTAAGGGCTGAAGCTTTCATTAGATTTGGCATTTGTACTGCTGTAATGTTGATCTACTATGTACTCTTTGGTCTCCATACAACTTACGACTTGGCACATCAGGAACACTTGGAAATTCAGAAGGTTCCTGACAACAGCACAGTTTGATCAGGATAGCAGGGTTTGGTTTATAGGAAGCCTAAAAATTGTGAGGCCAGTCGATGATTTAGAAGAATTATGTAAATAATCCTTCTATCTGATTATCACAAACATTGGAGTAGTTTAAATTACACTGTTATTGTGAGTTTGATGCAGGGAATATATACAAATCTAATAATAAGATTTTAATATACAAATAATATTTGCAATATTCTTATAAGTTTTTATGCCTCTTTATTTTCATTCGACTCAAAATAGGAGGGATGAGACCTTAAGAATAGGTAGTATGGATTGTCATGTGCGTTCTCTCAAGTCAAAACTGTAAGAAAATCCTTGTAAAGTAGGCATTTTTAGAGAGTATTGGGAGCGCCACATAAGAATAGGCATATTTTCGTCCAATTAAAAATTAGATTTCTATTTTATTTTAGAATTAAAAAAAGCACTCGCCACCTAAACAAAAGTGACGAATGAAATTTTAAATTTTTGCCACGTAGGTAAAAACGACGAATAGTAATTTATTAGGATTTTAATTATTTAAGAACACTAAATTTTATCATTTTTATTTGTTACAAAACTAAAAATTATCTTTAGATATTAGGATTTATAGTATTTAAAAAACTAAAAATTATATTTTGATATTTAAAAAAATATAAATTATCATTTGATGTTAATGGTTTTATGTAAATTATATAATACTTTCATACAAAATTTTAAAACTTATAATGCAAGAAAAAAAATTAGAGATCACCAAAAAAAATTTATATACAAAATGTATATAAAAATTCGTACATCGCACGCCGCATAATCAAAAGTAATATTTTGACCAATGAAAAATTAGATTTATATATTAGTTTTGAATTTTAATTTTCAGTCGTCATTTAACAAAAAATTAACAAATGAAATTTGAGAATTGAAAACAAAAAATAGTAATTTAAGATTTAAATTATGAATAATTTTTTTTTATAAGGTATATTTTCAACCAATTAAAAATTAGATTTTTATTTTATTTTGGAATTAAAAAAATCACTCGCCACCTAAACAAAAGTGACGAATGAAATTTTAAATTTTTGCGTAAAAACGACGAATAGTAATTTATTAGGATTTTAATTATTTAAGAACACTAAATTTTATCATTTTTATTTGTTACAAAACTAAAAATTATCTTTAGATATTAGGATTTATATTATTTAAAAACTAAAAATTATATTTTGATATTTAAAAAATATAAATTATTATTTGATGTTAATGGTTTTATGTAAATATCTGATGATATGATACTTTCATACAAAATTTTAAAACTTATAATGCAAGAAAAAAATTAAGAGATCACCAAAAAAAAATATTTATATACAAAATGTATATAAAAATTCGTGCACCGCACGCCACATAAGCAAAAGTAATATTTCGACCAATGAGAAATTAGATTTATATATTAATTTAGAATTTTAATTTTCAGTCGCCATTTAAGAAAAAATTAACAAATGAAATTTGAGAATTGAAAACAAAAAATAGTAATTGAATATTTAAATTATGAAAAAAACAAAAATTATCTTTTACATTAGGATTTATATTATTTTAACAAATAATTAGAAATTAAAAAATATATTTTGATTTAATGATTTTATCTAACTATCCGATGAATGAGATAATATTTATTTAAATTTATATATTCAAGTTCTATATACATAAAATTTGAATAAGAATAATTTAAAACTTAACAAAATATTTTACCTTAAATTAATGTTATGGGTTGAATGACCAATTCAAGTATGATCTTCTTTCTTTTATTTTGAATGGTTCCAGCTTTCTTTTATCCCTCCAGCTCGTAGTCTCCGCTAGTGCATTAAATAACTATCTCCGCTAGTGTAAGGTTCACCAAGAACTCTAATCTAAACAAAAACAAAAAATATTAAGAAATTACAAAAAAATATATAAAATGAAGTATTTAAAAACGTGCATCGCACAGGCTTACATCTAGTATTAGTATTATTATAGGACACACTCTTAAACAAGAGCTGATGATGGGCCGAACTTAAAATCAAATATTGGACCGTTTGAGGAATGAGAGTCAAGGCCCTCAAGGGAAAATCAATGCTTGGACCACAATCATTTCGGGCTAAAATGATTAACTTTATCTTAAACACCAAGTAATGCGTTACAAATGACAAACAATTTGTTTTCCTAAATTGATTGTACCAAATATACAACAAATTAAATGATTTACAATGATTACAAACAAATCGAAATTCCCTACACGAATTCACAAATTAAAAATATACAAACATTGACATATTGACAAAATTACATATAGAAAGAAAAGACTAAAAGAGTGAACAAGTTTCAAGCATTAGCGGTAGAATCAAAGGATGACAACTTGGTAGTCTCAGCTTGAGGAGCAGCCGAACCCTTGAAAAGCAAAAAAGCTAAGCTTCCGATGCAAAAGTAAATGAAACATCCATGACAATGTGTTACAAATGAACCAAAATCTGTCCCTACTATGCATTGCCACCCACTTCCATACACACTATCAAATTCCTGCGTGTCAATTACGTACTGTTGAAATATTTAGAGTATTGGTGACAAAATTCATGTTGTTTAATTAGATTGCTTAGGCAAAGGTGTTGCACTTAATTAATCAAATAATTAGAGCAAACCAAGGGAGTTGAGAACTCCATTAAAGCCGCCAGATCGAGCTATGGCAGCCCCATCGAACGCAAGAGTGAGGGTGAATCTCAATGAATCGCCGCCCGATCAGCCGCCAGATCGAGCCACAGCCGCTCGATCGGGCCCACACGCACATGTTTGTTGCTGGAATTCTTCCGCCCGATCTGGTGGTTGTTAGCCGGATCGGGCCCGGTCGTTTTCTGGGTTTGATGTTGTTTGCGTTTGACGGTTATTCACGTGTGTATGCTCTTGTATACTACGTATATATTATCTAATATGTGATGAAAGTTGGGGGTAATGAAAAGGTACGAACAGTAACTTCTTTCATTTTTCTCTTGTTTTGCAAAGACTCTCTAATGATCATCATCACAAATCACATACACTTATCTACATTGTATTGTAATCATCCTACTTGTAATTGCAATTGTTCTTCGTTATATCTCCTAAGTAAATTACCATAATACCCGGTTGTAGTATAGGGTCGGAATTATACTTTTGGAAAAATGATCCCGTTCACGCCTCAAAGATTTTACCAGTTTATTTTATTTGCTTTCTTTGTGACCCTTGTTAAACACAAAATCCCCAACAATCCAAAAGTATAATCTCTACAAAGATGGCAAATGTGAAGGAAGTGATGACAAATTTCCAGAAGTAGAGGGTGTAGATCTTGGTATGGAGATGGAAACGAAGATGGTGACATTTCTTGTGGGATTACAAGAAAAAAGGTTTGATGGAAGAGTTTCTCTAGTCATTTGTATGATCAAAGTCACTCCATTCAAGTAAGAGGTTTTCTATTTGTGATTAATATATATTTATATGTTTGATTATTTATCTCTATGGTTAATTCTTGACATGTTTAATTAATCTAAGTTTATTGATTGTGTTTTGGTTATTATTAGAGATATGCTGTCATGTAATTTTTATGCCATTAAAGATGATTGGTAAAAATCATGATGGTTGGTTAAAACCATGTAATTTAACATTGTTAATGGATGAACTAAGTATTATTATAGTTCATGAAATGGGTGTGAATTACTGTTTATTTTTACATTGATAATAAGATACTTAAGATGTTTTTCTGGGTATTGTTAATACATTTTCTATATAGACGGTTAATGCTTGTTGTGTATGGACGGTTTAATAGCCATGATTTGTTATACAAAATATGTGTTATTTCATCTTGTTACATGGGTTGTCAGTTGATAGTTTGTACTTTGTATGGCCTAAATGATGTCATTTCATGTATGGCAGTTATTTATAGCGGTTACTCATGTATGATGAATTATGTATGGTCTAATAATGTGTTACTCCATGGTACTTATTCATGAAAGGTTGAATGACCTTGTTTTGGTTTATTTGTGATTGTAAGTTTACATGCATGAATTAAATCAAGTAGTCATTTAATTATTGACAAAGGTATATGACACTTTGTGATGTGATGGTATTGTATATTATGGCAAGTATAATCTTGTGATTAATATGTTATAATTATTAGGTTTATTAATGTCTTGTTGTCTTCATATAAAAGTAATAATGACATATGTTGAATTGATGATTAATTTGATTCAAGTTTTTATTCTATGGTATAATAGAATAATGAAACTGCAATGATAAATTATGTTGTAGTTATAGTGAATTAATCATGAATATATAATTCCTTGGTGTAGAGGGTTATGAGTTATATGTCAAGAATGGTTGATTAATAATAATGAATATTTTATGGTGAAATAGAATAAAGGTATGGAATGAGTGTCATGGTCTATGACATGGATTTTGTATTGAAATTATTGTAATTGATTATATCAATGTTTAATTTAATTATTGATGTTATTTTATGCCTCTATGGTGATAGCAGTATAATGAAGTATTTGTTGATATTATTTGTGAAATTTATTCAAGTTATATGGATAATTATAATCTCTTTGTGATTATGAGTTTATACTCTTGGTTACAAAAGGGTATATATGCATGTATCAGACAAAAGCTATGTAAGTAGGCGAATATCGCTTATGTGATTGGTCAATTGAGTAGGTTCAATTCACTAGTAATTCTAGAATGCTATGTTGGCAAATGGTTATTATCTGTTGAAGTACTTGTTGAAATTCATGGATTATGGCTTGTGGTTTAGTGGGTATCCTTTAGTTATTGAAGGATATTCGGATGCAAGTTGGATCTCAAATAGAGATTGTTGTGGATGGGTATTCCCATATGGGGGAGGTGTCATGTAATGGGCATCAAAGAAGCAAATTAACTTGCATTGTGCGTTCTATAAGACATTGGAGGTCATTGCATTACATTCCACTGGTAAAGAAGCAGAATGGTTAAGGGTTTTAATGCATGATGAGATTTCTTTGTTGCAAAAGCCAATATCACTAATAGTGATGAATTATTGGGATAACAATGTAAATTTGGCTAAGGCATATAGCCAAGTGTAAAATTATAAAATGGTGAGTTAAGGTATATTGGTGTAAGGTATAGTTACATCCAAGGACTTAACAAGGATAGTGTTAAAAACTATTGTTTATTCTCGTACGAAGTTTAGTCTCGCCGATTGTTTAAAAAGCATGGGTTAGAGATATTAATAAAAGGATGGCAATCATTTTAGATTGGAGCCCCATTGTAATCACAATTAGGAGAATCTCAACTTAACGCCCAATGAGACGTTGGGTTTTAAGTTCAATGAGATCAATTCTCTTATTTGATGATTGGGAACTTGTTTATCATCCAAGATTAAGTTCCGGTTTTACTGTGATGAAAAGAGGTTGTTTTAACTTAATAGAATTTCTGATATACTGCTTGGTCACAGGAGCATGTTTGGAAAGTCTACCTATATGAGTACGAAGTTTAGCCGCTTTAAGAAGCTATTGGAGCATAGCTTTGATGTACTTATGAATGGATATGGACACATGACTTATAGTGTCAAATTAATATGTATTTAAGTAATTAATATTGTGTGTGTAACATCTTCAAGTACCCAATATGTGTCGCTTTTGGTTCAAACGTTTTACGATACCAAATGGATACTGATTCTTAAATTGTATGTTGCACTAAGTGGTAGTTTAAGTCTTTGTACACTTTCATTTATGCATGAGATTATTTTGTGATGATGATGTTATTTTGCAATGAGTCAATTTTAATACTCTAAATAGGGGAGGATTGTTGAAATATTTAGAGTATTGGTGACAAAATTCATGTTGTTTAATTAGATTAATTAGGCAAAGGTGTTGCAATTAGTTAATCAAATAATAAGAGCAAACCAAAGGAGTTGAGAACACCATTAAAGCCGCCAGATCGAGCTAATCGCCGCTCGATCGAGCCACCACCATTCAATCGGGCGCGTGTGCGAGGTGAAGAATTGACGATCAGCCGCCAGATCGAGCCACAGCCGCTCGATCGGGCCCGCACGCACATGTTTGTTGCTGGAATTCTTCCGCCCGATCGGGTGGTTGTTAACCCGATCGGGCCCGGACGTTTTTTGGGTTTGATGTTGTTTACGTTTGACGGTTATTCACGTGGGTATGCTCTTGTATACTACGTATATATTATCTAATATGTGATGAAAGTTGGGGGTAATGAAAATGTACGAACAGTAACTTCTTTCATTTTTCTCTTGTTTTGCAAAGATTCTCTGATGATCATCATCACAAATAACATACACTTATCCACATTGTATTGTAATCATCCTACTTGTGATTGCAATTGTTCTTCGTTGTATCTCCTAAGTAAAATTCCGTGATACCCGTTTGTAGTATAGGGTCGGAATTATACTTTTGGGAAAGTGATCCCCTTCACGCCTCGAAGATTTTACCAGTTTAATTTATTTGCTTTAATTGGTCATTATGTTTTGGTTCCAACATTATATATAATTGTTTGTTCACTTTGGTAGTTTGGTGACCAATGTTTTGTTGACACGTGTAGTTGTTATCTTCTAATAATATTGTTACATTATCTATTTTTATTATATTTTTTCATTATGCTAGTTAAATCAATTTAACGTAAAAAAACCTTGTGAAAAAAGAGCGGATTTTTTACCAAATGCCCTTAAGTTATTTTTTTACTCACCATATATCCATATTAATTTTCAAATTCACCAGATTTTCCTGAGTTTTACAAAAAATAATACAAAATGCCCAAATAACTAACGGATATTAACTGCGTTAGTCGTTACGGCTAAATTTGCCACGTGACAGCCTATGATTGATTGCCATTTATATTATTTAAATTTTAAAATAATAACTTAATTAATTATCAAAAAATAAAAATAAAAAACTAACCCACCAACCACAACCACAACCCAGCCCCAGCCCCAGCCACCACCCGTCGGCGTCGACGCCATCCTAAACCCGACGTAAACCACTGCCACCCTGAATCCGTCACCGCACCAGCCGTCACCAATGAACCACTCAACCACCATTCCACAATCCTAAAAACCCCTCATCTTTCCCTCGAAATCCTTGCTCCCCCCACCGCTAGTGTCGAAATTCCCATCCCCATGCCGACAAACCTAAACCGCACCTCCCCCAACCACCCCCGAACCATCACGCCAAACCCCAAAATGAAAAGAAAACCCAAAATCGAAACCTTAGATGTTGATGTTTGGGGTTTCAATTTTGGGTAGGGGTGAAAGTAATGCGGATTAAAACAAAACCGAATTAGTAATTTCGTTTGGATTTTTTTGTTTAATTTGGATTGAATCAGTTTGGAAAAATTAAAATATATGGATTACGGATTGGATTTGATTCGGGGTTTTAAAAAATCGTAAACCAAATTTCGACCCATTACTTTAAGCCCAATTTTCTTTTTCAAAGTATCCAACCACTTTCCTCTTTCATATATAAACTAAAAAAAACCCTAATTCTCAATTTTCCTCTCTCAATATCTTAATCTCTAACAAAGAATGTAGTTAACAAGAAAAGGTTGGTAATTGTAGGAATTTTCTGGGTGAAGTTCGGGTTTCGGGTTTGAATGTTGTAAAAGAAGAGAACAAATTTCACTTTGGATTGGATTCTAATTTGAAAAAACCGAAATAAATCGGTTTGGTTTGAATTGGATTGAATCTTAATTCGATTTGGATTCGGACTGAGATTTCCAAAACCGAATTAATCGAATTGGATTCAGTTTTGGCTATAATCCAAACCGCAAACCGAACTTTCACTCCTAATTTTGGGGTTTAAGGATTTTGGGGGTGGTGGTCTTTGGCTAAGGTGAGCGGCGGCGAGCCGGCGACGTGGGGGATGGAACGTGGCTGCCGGCAAAGGTTTTCGGCCCAGTTAAGTTAATTGACAAAGTTAGCCTAGCATTGGGTTTTTTCGAGTGTAGGCTAGGGTTTTAGGATAGGGGGAAGGTGTTTCTGGGAAGGATAGGGGAGGCAATGGAATGAAATAAGGGGAGGGAGAGTGGCTACCGGTGTTGGTGCCGTCAGTGGGGATAAGGGGCAAGGAAATAGGCTGCCGTGAGGGTGGTGGTGTGGGGAGGAGAGTGTCTGGGTTTGGGTTTTTTTTTTAATTTATTTTTTTTTAACTTTTTTTGTTAAATAAAATTGTTATAAAAATGAACCAATTAGAAGTCGCCACATGGCATAATTAGCCTTAACTCCTTCAGTCATTAAGTGCATTTGGTGACAATTTTGTGAAACTCAAGTGTATTTGGTGAACTTGAAAATTATTATAGGTATATGGTGATTGAATAAAAAAAATAACTCAAGAGCATTTGGTGAAAAATCCGAAAAAAAAAAGTATATCACAATACAACTATTTAATTCTGATTCAAATTGTAAAAATTAAGTTGTCCAAAATCTCATTAATGTTAGAAATTTATATACTACAATAAGTTAATTGATAAAAACCAAATATATATGATCCGAATTTGAACCACTCACATAGTCATAGTATTGTAACTCATTGTGTGACCAGATCAAATTGTTTAAAATTCCACTCAAATCAATAAAGTTCTTCAAAGTCTCATCAATTGAAATTTTCTTTGTGGAGGATTGAACCTATAGTTGTTTTTTTAAGGAACTTATAACTGTTTTGTAAAAAATATATATCTATTTTACAAAGAACATCATGTTATTATGTTTTTTTTTTGTATATCTAAAGAACATCCATAACATTAATAAAGAACATGATAATATTACGTAATGAACATTATTTATATTCATCCACCATAATATAAAGACAAAATTTAAAGAACATTTCACAGTACAATTAACAATGAATATTATGTCACAAATAAAAATACATTACATTTACAATCAAAGAACACGGAGATAAAAAAAATATTATTTAACAGTGTGTTCTTTATAAATAGTGTCATGTACTGTACATTGTTATTAATAGCTTTTTTTTTTAAAATATCTTATATGTTCTTTTATCAGGTTTATTACATTTTAACAATATGTTCTTTTCACTTTATATGTATATGTTCTTTACAATTCTATACCATGTTCCTTTTACTTTAACTAAATGTTCTTTACATTTATATACAAGATTCTTTCCTTTTTTTTTTTTTTGAATGGATGTACCATGCATGGTACATCCACCTCCATGAACCACTGATTGCTCATCAATTCGCAATAAACTAATTGACAATAAATTCAGATCCAAAGCTGAACCCTATATCTCATTGTCACTACTACACTTATAGCATCGCCACATTAATTACCTCTAATTAATGTTTGATATGGTATGAGACATTTGCCACCTCTAATCTTTAGGCTTATATCTATAACTTTGTATGAAGTATAATGATTGAGCAACATTTCCAATCATTATTCAAATTATTATGCATGTACCTTCAACTTTAAGGATATAGTAAAGTCATGGTTTTACCTTTTTGATGAAGCGAGCTATGTCAGTCGCCTCAGTGACATCATAGCAATCAAGGGCTTTTGCTGCCAATTTGAGGGCATCTTGTTGCATTGTTTGTAGCATATCTGTCTCTCCTACAACTGTCTTTCCTTCTAACATGTTTACCTTAATTAGGTTTATTAACTTGTTAAAAATATGCCTTAGAAAGCTAGAAAAGTAGTTAGAAAAATAACAAGAGGACTCTTTTTGAAGACCTTTTTTATGTCTAAAATTGAGTGTTTTTTGGGTGATGAAAGAGAGGATTAAATTGCTTCTAAGTGGGTCAACCGAAGGAGGGAGTAGGGTGTTTGGGACCCTTTTATCTTGTGGCCATTAAACACACAGAATTATGTACTTTGTTTAGGACAAATTTGTTTTGGGCCCTTTTTCTTTTTTATCATACAATCCAAAGTCATATATGGTTATGGATTAATGAGATACAATTTATCTAGGGTATATATGGCCTATTTCGATCAATGTGATTGCTCCCGGTATTTTCCTGATATTGGTTATGACGACTGTTTTTTAATTGACACGTTTGTATAGATAAAGTATAAAGCACGTAGTTAATTGCTATGGTATGTAATCAATAGTAATAACTTAAAATTGAAGTACATAGTATGTAGAAATGCATGTGCACGATACCAAATGAAGATTTATATAAACATATTTTAGCATGATTTAGGTTAAGAATTAGCTAGAAAATGACCTTACTCATACAATTACACTAAGGGTCTGTTCTCTTACGTTGAAATTCAGTTTAGTTCAGTTCAATTCAGCTCAGCTCAGCTCCTAATTTCCTTCTCTTATAAAATATTCATTTCATTTCAGTTCAGTTCAGCTCAGTTCAGTTCAGTTCAATTCAGTTCAGTTCAGTTCAGCTGAGTTCAGTCAATGAAAACAGGCCCTAATAATATGTCATGGTTCATTATGAAGTTGTCACTCAATCGATTAGTAGAAAATTAGAAATAAATAAATAAAAATAAATAAAAACTCCTAGAATAAAAATATTTTTTTTCTTGAGATTAGAATAATTAGGATAAATTTTTTTATTTCAGCAGGTTAAGATTATAATCCATATCAATTTTTTGTTTCTTAGGCATATTTGGAATGGATTTTTAGCCATGCACTTTTTATATTATTTAGTGTATATTCTTGTTGGACTAGTTTCGATATAATTACTTTCAAATGTTATATATTTACAATTTGTTAGAATAACTAAAGAACGAAGAAAGTATTTTTCATCTTAGCTAGGAGGAATGTCATATATTTATTACAATTTGTTAGAATTACTAAAGAACGAAGAAAGTGTGTTCTTCAATTCTTAGCTAGGAGGACACCACTAAACATAATAGTTAGTCTAGAATATTCAGATTCTATGGCAGGGAATGATTCAAAAGTCTCTTTACATGCACAATAGAGTAGGATATTAGGTTTGTCTTTTAATTTGTAATGAAAACGAATGAGAGTTGGATTATTATTGTTCTTTGGATTTGAGTGTTGCTTTCTTGTGGTTGCCAATTTACATAATAAGGTTTCTACAATTTTCATTTTCAAGAACTTCAATCATATACATTTTTTTATTTTTATAAAAAAAGAAGCCCTAATTTTAATAAGATATGTCATTTTCTAATTCATATGTAAATGGATATATTATCGCAATTTTCAATATATTACGCACTCTAACATATTTATGTGTATGTTGTGTGAGACAGTGAGAATGTAATTATGTGATGAAGATAAGTGTGTAATGGGCAACCCTAATTAACTAACACATCATGATCATCGGACTTTTAGGCTGGGCATTCATGATCCATATGGATTACGGAGTAGCTATATATGGTAATTGATATAGTGGTAGCTCAAGGTGGTGCAAATGTGCAATGATGTTGACCTGAATAAAGGTGGTTGTTTAGATCAGGTTGATATGGGTAAAAGTCATTTGATAAATGTTTATAATTATATTCTATATAAACGTCGATGATGTGGAGTAAAAGAACGAGTTTCCATTGAGATGTTTTAAACACCGATTGTTATTTTTTTGACAAAAAATTTAGTTTTGATGATTATGTTATAATAAAAGGCTATCGAAGTTAAGTAAATTTAAGGAAAAATAAGAGAGCAAGATAATGTTAATAGGTAAAGTGAACAAATTGTTAATTAACAAAATGATCAATGTTAGGTGAATTTGATAAAAATTTCAAATTCAAGAGAATGAGAAAATGTTTTTTTTTTAAGGTCTAAATTAATTGAATAAAATGTTAAAAATATGATTCTGGAAAAAAAAATCAAGACATTGAGAAAATTTTAAATAGGGTTTAAATGAATTGAATTAAATGTTTAAAATAATGTTTTTGGAAAAAAAAAAAAAAAAAAAAAAAAGATAGAAACAATTTGGGAAAAAATAAATATATGAAAAAAATGTCAGAAGTGGGATTTGAACCCACGCCCTCTTTCGAAGACCAGAACTTGAGTCTGGCGCCTTAGACCACTCGGCCATCCTGACTTTGCTGAACATTTTATCACAATTAATAATTTAACCTATAATTTATTCCATAATTTTAAAATACCCCAATCTCACCGTCTTCCATAATAAGAAAGTTGAAAAAACAAAGAAAATAACGCAACTTCGATGGTTGTTGCACCTTCCACTGCTTGGAACGTGTCACCGACTCTGTCCTGTCCCCAACAAATCTCTTACCCAACTTCATTTTTTCTAATTTTATTAATTATACTATACTTTTTTTTCATTTTTAATCAAGCTCAAACAAATTACACGTACAAAAACAAGAATCTCCAAAACAGAGCATCTAAACTTTATCAATTGTAGGTTGAGATCAAATCGCGTCTATGTTATTAACCTTTCAGCTTCCTAAAACATATGCGGCTCCAAAAAATATATACTACCTCCCCTCTTTTCTTTTTTTTTTTTTTTTTTTTTTCTTTTTTTTAACAACAACCTCAGTTTCTTCTTATACGCTATAAAGGAGTATTATTTATAACACACAAAATATTTCTTTATTAAACATAATAAAAAACGGAGATAGTACATATAATTATAAATAAAGTATAAATTTAAAAATAAGATTTAAAATATTTGAAGACCTTTATTCTCATATTCCATCTTTAAGCCCTCATTTCTCTCTTCTCCTCACAATTCATCCTCCACCCACATTTCACAGAATCCAAAACCCACTTTCTAAGAAAACCCAAGATTCTTTTTTTTCTTTTTTTTTTTTTAATATCATTTCTTACATTCCCATTTTTCATTTTAAAAAAAAAAAAAAAAAAAATCCATTGATTCTGATCAGATCATATTATTATTATCTTGCTCTCCTCTCTTTCACGAGCCAAAACGAGGTCGTTTTGAATTCGTGATGGCTCCTCGGCTAATCTCCTGCTTCGGAAAATCAGGAAGAGCATCAAAAGGCGGTAAAAACGACGTCGCAGCAACCGCGGACGAGGCGGCGGAGGAGCAAAGAAGAGGCGGAGACAGCCCTGTATTGGTGGAGCTATTTTCATCACAAGGATGTAAAACATCTCCTGAAGCTGAGCTTGTAATATCAAGATTGGGCCGAGGAGATTTTAGTTTGGGCCAGCCCATAATTATATTGGGCTTTCATGTGGATTATTGGGATTATATGGGCTGGAAAGATCCATTTGGGTCAAGTCAATGGACTGTTAGACAAAAGGCCTATGTTGAGTCTTTACAACTTGATACCATGTTTACCCCTCAAATTGTGGTACAAGGTGGGTCCCAATGTGTTGGTAATGAAGAGGATAAACTTCTTTCTAATATTGCTAATGCTCCTAGATTTCCTTCCCCTAATTTTCAGGTTAGTTGTTCATTTCATTTTTTAATTTATGTCTTTAATTTGCTAATTCTATTATTTCTTGCCTTTCAAATGATGGTTATAATCGTGCTTTTATGTATAGACATGGCCTTGTACGGTGAATAGATTAAAGCTGAAGCTGATTATATTATCTGATTTTGACTAGCTGGTTGTATTAACTGATTTGACTAACTTATTATATAAAAGTGTTTGGTAAATAGCTAATAGCTTAAAGTTGTTTGAGTATGTGAAATGACCAATAAACTAATTGTTGGGTAGGTAATTTAGGTAGGATTTTAAATTAAATAGGGGTATAAGTGTCATTTCACCATATATTAATATATAAGTTAATAAAAGGAGCTTTTTCAAAAAGAGCTTATTTAGTGGAATAAGCTCTTTAAATAAGTTTCTCACCAAACACCTTGAATTAGCTTATTTAATAGTCAGTAAGCTAATATATATATTGGTCAAATAAGCTAATTTTGCTCAAATAAGCTGTTTTACATGATATTGCATTAAATGTGTTGCATACAAGTTTTGATTTATCTGTCTGTATAGGTTCATGATTATTTATTCTTATTTTTAAGTTAGGTGTGGATTTATATATACATGCCTTTTATTGTTTGGTTTATGTTGTAATTTGGGTGAGTTAATATAATAGCCAGATATGTCAAATTTTGAACTTAGTGTACATAAATCATTGATTATAGGAGGTTTGTGGTGAACTACTGCTAGGTTGGTTATATTGTCCTTAAACGTAGAAACTAGAAACAAACAAATTAAATTACTTTCAACATAAATTACAAGTAATTAATTAAATGATTCTATTTTAGATAGAGGGCATTCTCTTGTTTATGCTGTGCATGTTATGTTTAAAGGCAATGTCAACTTTATGCAAAAAGAATTTTTTTTCCCTCTCTTTTAAAATCAGTATATAGCCAATATAGGCCAGTTAAGATTAAGTTGCATGCACGAATATTAGTTGATTATTTATTTATAAACTTTTATTAATATAATATTGCATACTTCAAATATAGAAGTTTACATGCAATTAAGTTGTACCTGTATCCATAAATCCGCCACTGTTGTTGAGTGTTACGTCCCTTAAGCGAATACACGAGACAAACATCATACAAAGCTAGGAATCCAAAATTACCGGGATGAGGTTGCCTTAATGAGTGAAATTGGACCATGGGAGGCCAGGGCCCTTGTCGAAACCCCTGGCTTCCTTCGCCTCTGTTATAGATGAAGCTAACTAGCCTATCGCGTATCCACACTCCACACAAAGTACTTATCAAGACATTAAGTTAACCTCAGCACATACATGAACATGAAAATTGAGATGAACATAATCATCATTCATCAGTAAGATAACCAAAATCGAAACCATTGGATCAAACTAACCAATACATGCAACTCCGAAAGAGGGTTAATTTGTTATGGAGTACATAACAAATTAATGTTTTGAATGTAGCTGAGATGACGTGACTCTTAGTGCTCACCTTACAAGTACATTTGACAAACTAACCAATGATACTCATTTGGCGACCTTTCTAAAAGTGATATGTATTGTGAGTCTGATTATAACTGTGTCATGATCGATTAGGTCCTTCACGTATAAACCATCATCTATGTGTTTGGAATCGATAGATCATAAAGTAATGTATAAACTATGAACTTACATTGGTCTTCCTTGAATAATGGTCAGTAACTTGATATTGTGCATAGATGCTTAGCTAAAGTATAATACGTTTATGTGGAGCAGGCAATCATCAAAAGACCAACACCTGAAACCTTAGAAGTTACATTCACAGGACAAATTCGGATGAAGATAGACAATCAGGGTGCTAACATTATGGTGGCATTGTACGAGAATGGATTGATGACTGATTGTCCAAAGGGGGAGAATAAAGGCAGACTCCTCTCCAATGATTTTGTCGTTAGGAGGCTTGAGAAGCTATGCTCCCTCAAAGACACCTCTGCCAAGAAGAATATCTCAGGGACTATTAACTTTGCTCTTTGGGAGCCATTCATCAGCCACAACTGTGGTATGGCTCTCTTTGTACAGCAGAACAGCTCCCATCATATCTTTGGCTCTCAGAAATTCGACGTTCCACCAGATCTGTGATTTCGGAAGAGAAGTTTAAGGTCATTTTTACTTCTAAAGAGATGGAACAAATTCACTGATAATGTGAATGAGAAATGGCTTCTTTTTTTGTTTCGGATTTGAAACATGATCCTAAGCCACACTATATGGCTTTGTACAGAGTTTCATTTGGGTTAGATCGATGTATTTTTGTATCATTTATGTTGGTTTTTGTATCTTTGATTTGAGCTAGGGTCTGGAAGAGAGGATTGGCATTTGATGATATGATGCTATGTTTAGTACACATACTGATTTGAATATTTATCTTTGTTTATTTTGCGATCTTCTAGTAACTCGTGGACGGTTTGATGTTTAAATTATCGTGTTCGTGTTATGTTAAAGGCCGAAACCATTGCTTATTAGGATACCCTTTGCATGAGAAAAACACCAAAGAGTTTACTTAAGAGCGGAATATTTACGAAGTATCATTTTCAGAATATATGGCATGTTACCTCGCAAAAATATGTACAGACTACCATGGATCATTGTATATTGAGGCAGAGATGAACATATTCAGCAGAGATGGCAAAGGAGATCCTATGAGTCAATTAGATCAGTCGACAGGCACGGGATGATGCTGAATTGATTATAGCTAGGCTGTGCTTGAGCAGATATTCCATATCAGATTCTGGCATAGTTTCTAACTTTCTAAGAGCTTGTTATGGAAATCGTCTGCTCAGTTCAATTTGATGTTTTTCAAAATCCATTCCATGAACTTGTTCGAATCAAATGCTCCAACTCCATCCCACCTTGTACATTACATCGCCTCTCTGACCCTAATCAAACTACTCTAATAGCTATCAACCATTAGCTGGGAACTATGGGACTGTAAAAGACCAACCTCAGAAAAGAAACTTCATCTGAACTAGAAACCGAGATACCCTTAAAGGCCTTAAGCCCTTAAGTTAATGAAAATGGATAGAGTTTGATATCTACAATGAAGCCCCACCAGGCCACCACAATATAGCAATTATATTTCATAAAGCAAAATTCAATATCTACAATGAGAAGAATAGGTGCCCTGATAACCATCGCAAGTGATGCTTTCAGTTTCAACTAAAAAAAGGAAATGAAGCTGCCAAATTATTGTCGACTTTACACAATGATGCTTTGCATACGTCGTAAAAGCCATACCACTATCCACAAGTATTTAATTGCAAAACATTGTCATACTAAAAGATGACACTTTACCCACAAAAGTACACACTTCACAGTTCACACTGATAGATCCACTGCGTCACCCTGCTGCTGAGCTAGATATTTCTCTCTGCGCTCTTTCTGGAGTTCAAAATAATAAAGCAACAATAATCCTTGTTAGATAACATAGAAAGGATAAGAATATAACAATTATTTCATTCTTGGTACGGATTTGTGTGTGTGTGTGTGAGTAGCGGGGAAGGGAACATCAAACAAATTTGAGGAGACATGAACGCACCCATTCATCTATGACAAGACCTTCACCAACCACCTTTGGACCATTATCTGTTGGAGGTTTCTTCCGTGTTTCAACAGCAGCATCAGCTTCAGCCAATTGGCGTTTCAGCTTATCAAGTGCCTAGCATGAGCATGAGCATGAGCATGAGATTCATTCCAAAAAAAAACTCTAAATATTTATGCAAGGATCATAAGAAATGAGGGAACTGAATATGGAAACTCACTGAGTTAGGACGATCAGGATCCAAGAAAATAGCGCGTAATACCCGTTCTACTGTAGCCTGCTCCCTTTGTTCATCAAACTGCAGGAATGGAGAAGTGGTGAGGAGTTGGGAAAATGATTCTGAAATTCACTTTGTTTCTCACATTTATCTAATATAATACTTGTATTAAGAAGATCGATTGCAGATCTTCCAATAACCTTCTAAAATTCCCACTCAACTAATTCTACACTACCATATCTTCCTATGCAAACAATGGTAAATGATGGATAATAAAAAACAGAAGAAAAAAAGAGAGTACTAATTGGTAATTCCTCTGCAAGTATGTTACATGGACTCTGCCCCATGTGTATAGATCAAGTGTACAGGGCTTGACTTGATGTACGTGTATTAAAGTAATAGACTAATTTTCAATAATTCAGCACAGATTTTGCTTATATTCTAATAACCAAGGATCCATATGAATGAAAAAAGTAAAATCAAGAAACTATGTCCAAACGAGTATTCGGCTACATCAAAACCTTGGGAGAATGGGAGGGCCATAGCATCTCCAAAAACCTCTGAACACCCCCCCCAACCCCCAGGGGAAAACCTCCCATATAGACTATGGTAGTAAAGAATTCATTTTGACAATAAAAATAAAAAATAAAAAAAATAAAAAAAAAAGAAATGGCACATGATTATCATAGGTAATAAGTTCCAAGGTATGAACTACTTACGGCAACTAATGAATTCAGACATCTATTTCCTGAAGGCAAATACTTACGGCAATACTGTAGAACATGAACCAGTCCATAATATGAGTTGCTGGACCCAATAAGCAACATTGCATTGCGGCAACCATTTCAAACCTCCCACCAATATAGATATGGCATCCTAAGTTCCAAACTCAGATCCGTTAAATATCTATTCTACATACCTACATCAAAAGTCTACAACACTTGTCCCTTATAGTTAGCATTCTAACTCAAATCAGTCAGGTACCCTAAATGGATAATGTCAATTGGAATTAAGCTTCAGAAATCCCAAATTTATAGCTTTAGTTTGATTGTTGACTCTTATTTGCTGACGAAATCAAAGAAAGTCCAATTCAAGAACTTCTACTCCACAAAGTGAGAGGCTTTAGAATGTCTTATTAAGTCATAAGCTATAGCAAGAACAACTAGTCTATAAATACTCAATTAATCAAGGAGAGTAGAACTCAAGCAATAAGAGAAGCAATTTAAAGGCCAGGTAAAAGTTCCATTGCTAATGGAAGAGCAATATCCTCACCAGCTCAGGTGCATATTCTGTTTCTTCTTTCACCTTTAAACTCATAATCTTAAATTTAACCTTCTTCTTGAGGTCTTGCATTTTCTCGTTATTCTCTGGTTGCTCCATGAACTTAAAGACTGCCAAATTCAAAACAAACAATTAGGGTTTTCTTATATGCACTGTCCCAATGTAAAGCGAAATTAAATATCATAACCTCGCTTTCAGACAATTCTATACAATACCCTTATGGTTTTACAACTACATAAGCTTATTGCTGCCAACTTTGTAATAAATTGTATTTCTAGTGAAAGATTAAAAGCAATCTCAATATAAATAAGCTTATATGATCACTTTAATTTGACTGTTGTGAGGTGATGGAAAATTTCCTTCCATAGAAGGACTGCAACAGGTAATTAATATGTATTACATGGTAAGAAAATCCCATCGCCTCAAAACAATCCTGAAAAGGTAAGTAGATAAGCTTACTTATGTTTAAAAAGCTTCGAATCATTCACTAACGGAACTTGTCAATGGAGAGTAGACCTCAAGCATAAAGCTTATGCAATCCTAAAACCATAGTGGTAGAATAGTCTAAAAGCAAGGGGAAAATGTTGAATTTAATACATACACAAGATCATTACAAAGAAAATCCCCATCAAAAAGAGCCACAAAGTAAGAAAAGATGCCATGGAAAAAAGATTGTTGTCAATGAATATAAGGAGAAGATCATGGCAATATTACCAGTTGCTATAATACTTTCTCCAGGGGCAAGAATACCACCAGGTGGGCGCATGTAGCAACTTTTTGGTGCAGTTGTTTGAAACTGAGACAAAATGGCAATGCAAAAAAAACCATTTTAGTGGTAGTTAAAATAGTTAGAGATAAAAATTGCCAACGAAAAGGCTGTTCGGGTATTCATCCAACTTAATACTTGCTTAAAAAAAACCAATTAGAAATTGCAATTACAGATTTGTAACCGCCATGATCCATGGAAGCTGAAAAGAAGTGATACCTTGAAAGCTGCATGGGATTTGCTAGTGTTCTTGATTCTCACTGCACTCTTAACTTGTTTTCCTGGTTCATCTTCAAACATTCACAAAACAAGCATCACATTAGACGAAAGAGAACACAAGGAGAAAAAACCCTAAATTGCATAAACATCACTACATCAGTGTTTTTTTAACTTGCCAAATTCCAAACTAGCACTTAAATGAGCTTTTTCCCAGCACAAGTATACTTATAGAAACCGCTTTCAAACCCATAACAGTAATGTAAGCTGAAAAAATTCTCTCCAATTTTCAACGCAACCATTTTCCAGTTACTAACAACGCATAAACTTTATGCAACAAATTTAATTAGGAATTAACATAACAACCAGCTCCTCCTGTATTAAAAAGGTTAATCATGACTATAGATGTAAATTCAGTTAAGGAGAGCAATCAAGATGAACAAATTCATCTTCTAAACAAAGAAACCGAAATGACAAGCTTCATCATGAAAATCACAACTAATCCAAGGCTACAACTAAATCACCAACCTAATACAATACGCTGATACATCAAACCTAAAACCAAATCTTATCCACGAAACTCCAGCATAAAATTCTCTTCAAAGTACATTATAAACAAAGGTCTAAACAGCTTTAAATTAAAGCAACCACATAATCAAATCCCCGAATTGTACTTTGATACCTCCTAAACACCAGTCTACAATCATTCAAGCATAGCACAAGCTCTTTTTATAACTATGTCATTCCTTTATTCGGCAACTTTTAACACAACACTTAAATTCAAAATAACATTCATTCTTAAATACCTACCATATAAAACTAAACATTAATTTAACTTCAATTAATTTAACAAACCAAATATCACAAATTCACAAATAATATTCAAAATAGCATCATCCTTAAATACCTACCATATAAAACTAAACATTAATTTAACAAACCAAATATCACAAATTCACAAATAATATTCAAAATAGATCATCCTTAAATACCTACCATATAAAACTGAAAAATTAACTTCAATTAAGCTCAAATTCTCATTCAACATTACACTAACAAACCTAAAATCACAAATTCACAAATAAAATTCCAAAATTACAAACAACAAACAAAAAATCAACCTCAACAAATTCAAATCAACTTCAAAAAACAAAGAAACTCACAAGGAAAATACAAATTATTCGGAGGATCAAGGCGAAGCCGACGTTTCGCCGGAAGTAAAGAACGAGCAACAGAAGAAACCGACGGTTTCGGCCTCGCACCAGCAGCACCGCCACTACCACCGCCGCCAATTCCGTGATGGTTACCGTCATAATTATTGCGATAATTATGACTACTCTGGTGAAGTTGTTGAGTAGAAGAAGACGAAGAAGATGTATGATTAGTAGCAGAAGTACTACTAGTAGACTGCCAGAAATTACAGAGCTTCCATAGCTTAACTTCTGAGGTATGGTTACTTCCGCCGGAAGTTGCCGACGCCATTTTCGCCGCCGATTGGAGGAATTAGGGTTCCGATGATCAGAGAATCCGGTGAAATTGGGTTGATTTTTTTGGTTTTTGAGATTTTCTCTCTCCTCTGAATAATAATTTGGCCGTGTAGAAAGGATTGACAAGTTGAAGAGAGAGAAAGAGAAGGAAATGGAACAGTTCAGACTTCAGAGTTGGTTACTTCCTTTTTCTTATTTTTTTTTTGTTTTTATTTATTTAATAATTAATTGTAATCGCGTTGGAAAAGGGGGTTGAAGTTAATATTGACTTTTAATCTAGTCAAAAAATAAAGGAAATAAATAAATGATGGCTTTTGGTATAGTTCGTGTGAAATTCAAGCACTAGAGAAGTAGACAAGTCAAAAAAAAAAAAAAAAAAGTAGATAAGTCACAAATCCTTTTAGTTATTCCATCCGTTCTTTGTTGATAGTTCTTTATGGGTAATTTTCACGGAAATAAATAAATATAATAAGAGTAAAAATACATTGAAAAAAGTAAAAATTACATTAGGTATGCAAAAAAGTAAAGAGAGAAAGTAATAAAAAGTACATTAAAAAACAAAATTTATATGGAAAAGTTAAATTTGCATATATATTGTTGCAAATTGGAGAGAATTTTGATTAAAAAAAATAATATTAATGGTACTAGAAAAAGGAAATAGGACGATCATTTTGGGATTTAAAAGTAGCCGGACTATCAATAAAGGACCGAGGGAGTATCTTGTACCATATGAATAATGAATTGTATCAATGTACCATTTATTCATTTGTACTATGCTTTTGGTAAAGTTAAATTATGTTGAAACACTCGTGAGAGGTACTAAGGTAGTAATCGGGTCAATGATTTTCAGCGTGGTTTAGTCAATTTTTAAACACGTAGTTATGAAGCACGTACGCCTCTAGATTCAGATTGGATTTGGTTTAATGTTAGAAACTACAGTATATTTTTACAAGACAAAGTCTTTTTCACAAATTTTTGGGGTAATTAGTAGTTCATTTCTTTCTCAAATATCTCTTCCTTTTTTTTTTTGCCCCATATGACTTTTTACGTTTTTTGAAATGCGTGCTAAAACTTATATATCTTCGTTTCTATAAGCATACAAATTATAAAAAGTTAATATTAATAAAATGTTCAATTAAATGAGTTCAACAAGATCTCAAATGCCTATATTATCTCTTATAAATTAAGAAGAATTTATGGTCAAAGTTATTAAAAATTGACCCATATATTGGCTATGGGGCAAAAAAGAAGAAAAGTGACCAAGGAAGTACATGCTTCTTTTATAACACCTTTTTTTTTTTAAAAAAAAAAAAAAAAAAAAAAAAAAAAGGGAAGTTTTGAATTGATCAAACATTCTCTTATTTGTTAGGTTATTAGTTACCTCTAGCTCCAAGTTTGAATTGATAAGGAAATCCACCTCTTTAACTACACCTAGTTAATCTTTAGTCAAGGTGTGAAAAATATACATAAGGAATCTCTCTTTACGAGAAATCTTAATGAAAAAGAACTATTTTCGTTATAAAATATTATACAAGTATTCGATTACACTTGTACAATTTGCTATTAGTCCGTTTAGTATCACTGTGTTTTTCAGTTAATTATTTATTTTTAGTTTTTTAGGTCATGTGTTATATATTTCATTTTAAGAAAAATAATACAAAGTAATTAGTTAAACCTTTCAATATAATCATGATTTTATAAGGTGACAACTGACAAGTGCACTATTTTTTTATTTTTTTTCCAAAGAAAAGCAGCTAACAAAAATCAAAAAGTACTCCATAAATGAACGAGCTGGTTCAAGACTACAAACCAAAGGCCCAAAGCACTGTGGCCCAGTAGCCAAAAACAAAAATTAGCACTACTTCTTTACATGTGGTATACTTGGAACTTTGACAACATTCACTATTTCATTACATAATTTCTTCCAAATCATAACATATAATCCGTAATGCAATTCCCGAAGAAAAAAAAAACCATAATGCAACACTTTCTACATGTAGATCAAGACTAACATTATACTATCAACCGTGTAACTTAAACGAGTAATGCGACAACTAAGTTCATACTATACTAAGAATATATAACGACAGTAGCACACACAGGTAGAGTACTCCTCAGTCGTCCTCAATCAGGACCCCAAAAAATCAATTGGAGAATAGCGTAGGCCTTCTCTTCTTCCTTCGTTCGCCATCCGTTTCTCAAATTACCCGAGCTTGTAACATTAGTAGCATGATCATCACCAACATGGCAATCTTTACTACCAATATTAGCAGTATTTTTCAATTCACTATTAGGGTTGGCAATATTCTTCTGCATAGCCTTAAACGCTGCCTCAAATTTGCACTTTCTTCCATTATTCAAATCACCCATCTCCAAATAATTAAAAGAGTAAATTAAATTTCTCTAAAAATGACCCAAAATTTTGATATATGAGTTGGTAATATATATGGGTCCAAAGTGGTATATATAATAAGGTAGGGTACATTATGAAATTAATAAAAGTAACGATGTTCTAGTTGGTTCTTATTAAAGAAAAAAGGTGAGACATGGTTTGACGATAATTCTGTGGTCATTGTTAAATTATTAAGGTGTATTTTTTGACTTTTAAGTTGCTTAATTATTGCATTGGGTCCTAGCTTAGTCTCAAATCCCCGGATTTATGGATAATGGTTTTCGATTGCAGCTGAATTTCGTTGGTTTTGTTATAGAAGTGTTAAAAAATATATATATAGATGACTCAAATTCTTTTTGTCTCTACTTTGGTGTTTTTGTCTCTTACGGAGTACAAATAATTCACGTAAAATGAACAATATATAATTCTCCGTGATAAAATAAAGAGAATTTCTAACGTATATATGAGTACACAATAAGACTTATTATATGACCGTTTTAAAATCATTTTGCACTTTGAGAAAAAATAAATTTGAGAATTTTTAAATTAGTGGAGTTTGAAAATTTTTCTTTAGGGCTCAGGGTTTCCCTATTTACATTTTTTTGATGGATAATAAATTTGGTAGCAAATGGGTTGAATAATATGTATGATTGTAGTTTAACTTGTGTTCATTAACATGCATTTGATGAATTCAATTTTAAAATATACAAGTATTTGTGTTTTATACATCTTTATTATTGTAGATGTGGTATGATTATTATTTAATAATATTATTTTTTCGTTCAAAAAAATAAACATTTGTTATTTAGGACAAGGGGAAACGCAAGGCCCGTTCTATTCAGGTTAATTTCAATTCAGTTCATTTCATCTCCAATCAGTTCAGTTCAGTTTAGTTTAGCTCCAATTAGTTCAGCTCAATTTAGATCAGTTCTTAATTTTCTTCTCTCTTAAACAATTCATTTCACCTCTATCCAGTTTAATTCAACCCCAATTAGTTCAGTTCATTCTCAATCAGTTTAGTTCAATTGTTTTCAATGAATCGGAATAGACCTTCAAATAGTTGGTTATATGGTAAAACATTTGTAAAAATATTTCATATTAACCATTCGGGCCTTGTTTTCTTGATTGGGCTTTATTTGTTTGCCACTTGCAAATTGAACATTGTCCATTTGAACATATCAGCAGATCACTTTATTCAATACCAACAAGGCAACAACTACCCTTCAACATGTACGATGTAATTTTTAATTAGTGCATTAATAGTTTTGTCACATAAACTACACCAGTATTATCATTTTTTCCAACTCTGTAGTTATTATGATTGTTAATTAGGATTAATCCATAAAGTTTCAAGTTTCTCAGTAATTAGCTCCTTGGATCCCTTAAACTCGGTTTACAAAATACTCCACGTCTCACTGGCCGTTGTTGCAGCCATAATACCTAGCAAAGATTGTCATGTTAACTCCTTGGTGGATCAAAGTTAAGGCAGCAACAACTTAACGTATGGTTTTGTTGTACACTTTTCTCATCAAGAATTGAGATTGAAATTGATGGATTAAGAGTGGCCACTGGCCAGGTAGCTAGAAAGGAGTGAATAAGGCATATTTGATGCCATGTCTAGTACAATCTTGTGTCAGTGAATATTTTTTGAGGTTTATTAATGAAATAAAGGTTATAAAAGAACAAAGTAACCATCATAGTTGTATAATAAGTAGGCAATCAAGCGCGACGCACTCTCTAGAATTATCTAGGCCTTTTCCTTTAATATCTTATTGACAAGTTCATGTGTTCGTCTCAATTTTAGTATTTTCATGTCTTAACTAAATTTTTTGGGTTTTTGTTGTGTAATCGTGTGCTAATCATCCTATTTCCTTGGAAGTCTCTGAATATATGAATGTTTATGTTTTTAAATAAGTACGGATTAATAAAAAATTATTCTAACCGATCAAATCAATCTAGCCAAATCCAATGCAGTCCGATTGTCCAATTATCAGGAATTTAATTTATTTTTTTGTCTCAATCTTTTGTTATCCATCTAATTCGATCCAGTCCAATCTGATTTTGGACTTGGACTGATATACATCCTATTATTCATATGAATCATATCTATGATATTAATAGGTACAATTCGTACAAAATAGATATTTGAACAATATTCCTTACAAATTAACACAGTCAATAGTTGCATAAAACATAATAAGTGTTGGTGCATAAAGTAGGAGACTACCGCAAAAATTTAGATTCTTGAATCCCACTTGATAAAAATTGTGGCATAAAAAAATGTTGCCAAAATAATAAGAAACAGAGTATAAAAAGAAAAACAGTGGAAATGCAACACGTAAATCTTCAAGAACAGAAATTTATTAATGGAAACTTGTTTTTTCATACAGTATACATAAATTTATAAAACCAAACATAACTCGGACTTTATTTCAAAACCCGAGTATGACTTGGGTATTAACATTTCTTTTCCGGGAGAATGACCTTGATCAGAACTCAACAATCACGGTTCCTTAAACCACTATTTGCAAGCGAGGCACTTTGAGACTGATTAAGACATAAGGGGATACCATCCCAGACACCCTCACTTGGTGAGATTCGAACTTCATAAGAAACGTACCAGGTGAGTCAAGCCATGCTTTGTATGACTCGATGTAGTATATACAAAAATACTACAACAACAACAACAAAAAAAAAAAAAAAAAAAAAAAAAAGAAACTAATTAGGACCCCAACAACTCAAGTACATAACAGTCCTAAGAGACTCTTCAGATTGTTTCAACTTGTCATCTTTCATCTTCTTAGAAACCATTGCAGAAGAATTAGAAGATAACTTCTTAGCTTGAGAATAAGATCTAATATTACTCTTCAAATGTTGATGAATACATCTAATTGGGTAATTCCATCTTGCAATTCCTTGATCTTTCAATGCTTCTACTGCTGCAATACTTGCTGCTACTGCCCACTTCATTCCTGATGATGAACTCATCTTTTTGTTTTGAGAATTTGATGAAATAAAAACAGAGATTTTTGTGTATGAGTTTGCTTGTAACTTTGTATGATGTTTTTGTTTGTGATTTGGTTGAATGATTTAAGAAATGAAGACTGAAGAGTGGTATTTATATAGTTGAGAGAAAATAAGGCGGTTGGAAATTCAGTGGGAAAAAGTTGATGGTTTTTTGTGAAATACCAGAGGAATTTTCACATGGTTTGTGGGAGTTAAAGTTTATTGCAAAAAAAAGCCTAAAAAATGGGGAAACGGACAAAAAATGCCGCAAATTTTTGTGTGGTTTGTTGCAAAAGGATAAATTAGCTTATATTATTATTGCGGGATATATTTAGGGAATATTTTAGGATATATTTTGTATTATAATTTATGCCTAGAATATCTCTATGATATATTTTTGGTAGTTTTCTAATCCTATCATAATAGGGTTAAGCTTGTATTATATATGGCGTGAAGAGTAATCAATACAATCAAGTCATTGAGTTTTATTCAATTTAGCATGGTATCAAGAGCAAGGTTTATTTTTTGAGTTTTTTTTTATCCCGTAAACAATGGCTGGGGATGATGTTCCACCTCCACCGCCACCTCCTTTCACAGAAATTAAACCAAATTCACCATTTTACCTTGGGTCGCAAGATCGACCTGGGGATTTTATTACCCCTACACGACTCAAAACTGATAACTATGACGATTGGGCTGCGGATATGCAGACTGCGTTGGAGGCTCGACGAAAATTCGGCTTCTTGGATGGCTCGATCTTAGCCCCTGTACATCCGTGCACTCAATCAGATTGGACGGCCATCAACGCAATGTTAATTTCTTGGATTACCAATACCATCGATCCAGAGGTAAGGTCGTCCCTTTCTAAATTTCGTGAGGCTAGACTTTTATGGCAGCACCTCAAGCAACGTTTTGCTCAAACCAATGGCCCTAGAATTCAACAATTAAAATCATCGATTGCTAAGTGTGAACAAACTAGATCGATGTATGTTTCTGTTTATTATAGTAAATTGCATGCTTTATGGCAAGAATTAGATCACCATGAACCTTTAATTTCTTGTTCTTGCTGTTCGAAGTGTACGGCTGGGCAATTGCATGAAGCTAGGCGTGAACAAGCTAAATTACATGATTTTTTAATGGGTCTTTATTCTGATTTTTATGCCTCTTTGCGTACAAATATTTTGTCTCAAGATCCCCTCCCTAGTCTAGATAGAGCATATCAATTGGTGGTACAAGATGAAAGAGTGCGTACGGCAAAGCTAGAGCATGAACAAAAGCCTCCTGATGCTCTCGGCTTTGCTATACGAACAGGGGCAGGCAGGGGAGCTTCAGACCGTGGCCGTGATGGTGGTACAGTGTGTGGTAAATGCAAGAAAATTGGTCATGAGACTTCTAATTGTTGGTCTGACAAGACTTGCAATTATTGTAAGAAGAAGGGTCACATTGAGAGCAAGTGTTATGATCTTCATGGTCGGCCCTCATCGATTGATAATGGTCAGGGGGGAGGTACACCGCTGGCCGGGGTCAAAGTACGGTGCGGGCAAATGCAGTTTCGGGTGCTTCAACTGACAGCTCTTCTCATGGTCAAGTGTTTTCAAGTGAACAGTGGAAGGCTATTACGGGTTTGTTCAGTAATGCTAATGTTCCCGAACATCGCTTGAATGGTAAGTTTGATGTTACCTCTTGGATTATTGACATAAGGGCAACACATCATGTGACCGGAGATGAATCTTGGTTGTTTGATACAAAGAGTTTTGAATGTCCCGTTGGTCTACCCAACGGGGACACTGTTCTGGCTTCTTTGGTTGGTTCTGTTCGTTTGTCGGACAAGCTCACTTTAACTGGAGTTCTTTTTGTTCCTAATTTGAGTTGTAATCTGCTTTCTGTTTCACAAATAACAGATGAACTTAATTGCATTGTCCAATTTAACCCTTATATGTGTGCTATACAGGACCAAACGAAGGAGCTGATTGGAACGGGAGCTAGGAGAGACGGACTATACTATTTTAGCAAATCGGATTCGGTGCATCATGTCGGTGTTGACAAAGAAATTTCAAGCTTGGAGTTGTGGCATCGTCGCATGGGTCACTAGTAGAAAAATACAAAAAGGCAACCCCCAAATGGCACCGGTTCAGGCCAAACCGGTGCCAAAAATAGGCTAAAAAAAGCGCGGGTTAATGAACCAAGACATAAGGCACCGGTTCACTTCAAACCGGTGCCAAATACTTAAAGGCCACCGGTTTGAACCGGTGCCTTTTGAACCGGATCCATAAAAAAAAAGAAAAAAACCGAACCACTCTCTTTAAATCCCCTAACCCTAATATTCTCTCCTCTCATCAGATCAATACCCTTCTCTCTCCTCTCATCCTCGCTCTTTCTCTCTCCTCTCCTCCTCTTTCTCCCTTAGAACTCGATCTCCTTCTCCTCCTCCTCTTTCAATTATCTTTCTCGATCTCCTTCTTCTCCTTCTAAAGCTATCTAGGTTTATGAAGATAACATGCAAGACCGATGACTTTGCGAATTTATGGGATTTGTTTTAATTTTCTAGGTTTTTGTTGTGATTGATTTTTTTTATCGATTTTTTTAAAATTGTAATCTGTTTAAATTCTTTTTTTTTTCTGGGTTATTGTTTTGATCGATTTCAATCGAATTTCTGGGTTATTGTTTTGATTTCAATCGAATTTTGGGTTTTTTTAAAAATTTTAATCGATTTTAATTAGAATCGAATTTTTAATCTTTTTTTTTTATTTTAATCAATTTTGATTTTTTTTTTTTAGATTTTAATCGAATTTTTTTTCGATTTAAATTTTTTTTGTTTTCTGGGTTTTTCGATTTTAATTTCATTTTTTTCTGGGTTTTTTCGATTTAAATTTTTTTCAATTTCTTGGTTTATTCGAATACTGGATTAAAATGGATTTCAATTATTTTTTCGTTTTCTGGGTCTAATTTATTTTCATGGGTTTTTTTTCGAGTTCAAATTTTTTTTTCTGGGTTTTTTTTCGAGTTCAAGTTTTTTTTGGCTTTTTTTTTCGATCTCAAATTCTTTTTCGTTTTCTGGGTTTAATTTTTTTTTCTGGGTTTTTTTTTCGATTTGAAGTTTTTTTTCTGGGTTTTCTTTCGAGTTCAAGTTTTTTTGTTTCTGGGTTTTTTTTCGATTTCAAATTTTTTTTCTTTTTCTGGGTTTAATTTTTTTTTTTCTGGGTTTTTTTTTCGATTTAAAGTTTTTTTCCCTGGGTTTTTTTTCGAGTTCATATTTTTTTTTCCTGGGTTTTTTTTTTCGATTTCAAGTTTTTTTTTTTCTGGGTTATTGTTTTGATCGATTTCGAAGTTTAATTATACTAATCGATTTTTTTTTGGTTTTAATTGGTGCTGGTATGAATTCTAGATCTGAAATTGAAGAAGCAAGATACAAGAATGAATGGGTTTTTTTTTTTGATTTATATTTTAATTTGGAATGTTAATTTATATTGTAATTTTTTTTTATTTATATTCTAGTCGAAGTTTTTATATGTTGTAATATTTTTTTGATCATATATTGCAAATTTTGATGATGATTGATATTGGTTTTATGTTTTGCTGTTGTTATTTATTTTAGGCTATTTAAATTTTAGATGGAAAAAACAAAAAAAAAAGAAAAAAAAAAATATATATTTTTGGGCAATTTTGGCACCGGTTAACCGGTGCCAAAAACAACAAAAAACCATTTTTGGCACCGGTTAACCGGTGCCATTGCCAAGTTTTGGCACCGGTTTGAACCGGTGCCTTATTAAACCACTTTTGGCACCCCCCACATAGGCACCGGTTCAAACAAGTTCCTTAGGCCAGGTTTGAACCGGTGCCAATTACATTTTTTCACGTAGTGGGTCATCTTTCCGAGAAAGTAGTTAAGTTGCTTCCTCATGTTAGTAGTAATAAAAGTTGTCTTGTTAAGGGGTGAGAAGTATGTATGCGTGCTAAGCATCCTAGAGAATAATTTTCGTTAAGTGATAGTAGGGCTTCTAGAGTTTTTGAGAAAATACATTGTGATTTGTGGGGTCCATATAGACATGCTTTGTCATGTGGAGCTCGTTATTTTTTGACTATTGTTGATGATTATTCTAGAGCAGTCTGGATTTATTTGTTGGTTGATAAAACAGAAGTTTTTAGAATGTTTATGGCATTTATTGCAATGGTTGATAGACAATTTTCTCAAACAATTAAAATTGTGCAGAGTGATAATGGTACTGAATCGTCTTCTTGATTATTTTTCTACTACGGGCATTATTTTCCAAACTTCTTGTGTGGGTACCCCACAACAAAATGGGAGGGTTGAGCGAAAACATAAACACATTCTCAATGTCGGGAGAGCTTTGAGGTTTCAAGCAAATTTGCCAATTTATTTTTGGGGGGAGTGTGTTCTGGCCGCCGCTCATTTAATTAATCATACTCCAACACCTTTGCTACAAAATAAAACACCCTTTGAAATCCTATTCAATAAACCTCCTTCTTTTGATGCTATTCGTACTTTTGGGTGTTTGTGTTTTGCTCATAATCAAAAAACGAATGGTGACAAGTTTGCTAGTAGGAGTAGAAAATGTGTTTTTGTGGGATATCCTTTTGGAAAGAAAGGGTGGAAGTTGTATGATCTTGAGTCTAAGGTGTTTTTGGTGTCTCGTGATGTGAAATTTATTGAGGGAGTTTTCCCATATGCAAGCCTGGAAGCTGTCAATATAGTGCCTACAATGTGTGCTAATGACCATGATATTCATGAGGATTTCTTAGAAAATGTGACATGGGGTGATGTTGGTGAATATGAAATTATTTTTGATGGGGAAGAGCAGCATGTTCCGTACACAGAGCAAACAGCCCAGCATACAGAACAGGCTGCGGGTGCTGAGAGCACAACAAGCACCGCTGCTGGCCAGCCCGAGGAAATTCCAGCGGGCGCTGGTTCTGGCAGCAGCACCAGCAGCACTGCCGTGTCTGGCAGCAGCCCCGAGCAGAGTGGCAGCGACACTCTAGCAGCGCCACACGATCAGCAGCCTCAACCCGAGGTCTTGGGTAGGGGGCACTGTGAGAAATACCGATCCGTGAAGCTTCGTGATCATGTGACATACTCCGTTTTTGCTAATAGTCTGTCTCCGTCCCCTCCGTCTCCGATCCCTCCTTCAGGTACGCCTTATCCTTTAGCACACTATATAAATTGTGACATGTTTTCTGTGAATTATCGCAAGTTTCTTGCAGCAGTTGTTCAGGGTAAAGATCCCAAATCTTTCAGAGAAGCAATGAAATCTGATGGTTGGCGTCGTTCAATGCAAGAAGAAATCATGGCATTAGAGGACAGTGGAACATGGACCTTAGAGCATCTTCCTCCCGGCAAGAAAGCTCTAGGGAGTCAGTGGGTTTACAAGACAAAATATTTGTCGAATGGTGATATTGAACGTCTTAAGTCACGTTTGGTCGTTTTTGGTAATCATCAGCAGGAAGGTATAGATTATGGTGAAACTTTTGCTCCAGTCGCAAAAATGACAACAGTTCGGGCTTTCCTTGCTATAGCCACTTCTAAAAATTGGGAGCTTCATCAAATGGATGTTCAGAATGCCTTTCTGCACGGTGATTTGGAAGAGGAGGTGTATATGAAATTACCTCCAGGTTTTGAGAGTTCAGATCCAACTTTGGTGTGTCGTCTGCGAAAATCTTTGTATGGGTTGAAACAGGCTCCAAGGTGTTGGTTTGCAAAATTGACTGCGGCTTTGAAAGGGTATGGTTTTCTACAATCTTACTCTGATTACTCTCTGTTTACATACACTAGGGGTACTGTTCAGATTAATGTGTTGATTTATGTTGATGATCTTATTGTTTCTGGGAATGATTGCGCTGCATTATCTGTGTTCAAGGCTTATCTCTCTGATTGTTTTAAGATGAAGGATCTTGGTCCTTTGAAATATTTTTTGGGCATAGAGGTTGCTCGTAGTAAGTCCGGTTTGTTTTTATGTCAACGGAAATACACCTTGGATATTATTTCTGAAGCAGGATTGTTAGGGGCAAAACCAAGTGGATTTCCGATTGAACAAAATCATAAGCTTGGTCTTGCCAATGGTGATGTTCTGGAAAATCCCGAGTCATATCGCAGATTAGTAGGGAGGCTCATTTATCTTTCAGTTACGAGACCTGATTTGGCTTATTCTGTTCATATTCTCTCCCAATTTATGCAAGAGCCGCGTGTTGAGCATTGGGAAGCAGCTCTTAGGGTCGTTCGGTATTTGAAAGGCACCCTAGGACAAGGTATTTTGTTGAGTGCAGATAGTGATCTGACTTTGCAGGGATGGTGTGACTCGGATTGGGCGGCGTGTCCTCTAACGCGTCGTTCTTTGACAGGTTGGCTTGTGTTTCTTGGTCATTCTCCTATTTCTTGGAAAACCAAGAAACAACCAACAGTTTCTTTTTCTTCCTCCGAGTCTGAGTATAGATCAATGGCGTCGTGTACTCATGAGTTGAAATGGTTAAAAGCTTTACTTTTGAGTTTGGGGGTTCAACACCTTAAAGCGATCAAATTGTTTTGTGACAGTCAATCTGCACTTCATATAGCCAGAAATCCAGTTTTTCATGAACGGACGAAGCACATTGAGATAGATTGTCACATTGTTCGTGACGCCATTACGGAAGGCCTAATTGCACCGTCTTATGTTTCCACTAAGGAACAATTGGCGGATATTTTCACTAAGGCGCTTGGGAAGAACCAGTTTCATCATCTTCTTTCCAAGTTGGGCATTTTTGACCCACATGCTCCAACTTGAGGGGGGGTATTGCGGGATATATTTAGGGAATATTTTAGGATATATTTTGTATCATAATTTATGCCTAGAATATCTCTATGATATATTTTTGGTAGTTTCCTAATCCTATCATAATAGGGTTAAGCTTGTATTATATATGGCGTGAAGAGTAATCAATACAATCAAGTCATTGAGTTTTATTCAATTTAGCAATTATACAGTACAGTACATTTATACGAGTTGTACTATTATAGTAGTACTTGGACTGACTAATAAAACTCATAGTTTAAAGTACGAGTAGTTGATGCAGTTCCTGGAAATTGCGTGTAATAAAGTA